CAAATCTTGTTGGTCTAGGAAAAAGCACATGATTCATATTGAGCAGCAAAAAATCTATTGTTCGAACACCTGCTTCCAAATAGGGACCAATGATAGGGACAGTCAAACTTTGCAAAAGCTTGAAACGGAAAACGCCGACCTACAGTGTAATCTGGAGCTTCCGAAAAGACAGATCGAGAAGACTAAAAGGCGCTCAGTTGCCTTCGAAGATGAGGTATTTGACATGGAAGCATACTATAAAGCAGAACTTCAAAAATATAAAGCTTTGACTATTGAGCTCCAGCAACAGCTTCGTGGTTATCGTGATTCTCCAGTATGCTCCAAATCTTCTAGTACTAAATGTGATGTTAGTACTCAGACAATACATTTTCTTAAAAGTATTGAGTCTCAGACTGTTATCAGTGATACAAATACTAATGATGTCGTTGGAGACTGTTCTGCATCGGAATCTGATATCGGGGAAAGGGCTGCGATAGCTACCCAAACATCGACTTGCTTTAAAGACGCTGCTACTGTTACGTATGTGAATGACGATATATTGAACGAGGCTTTACTCCTCCACAGCTTGCTAAGAATTCAAGTTCCTAAATCAACTCAGACTGACAGGGCGGATCTTGCCTTAGCGGTAGAAGAATTGGACGTTACTTCTTATGGGCCGCAGCATTCTTCAACATCAATCAGTCGCCCTGCACTTGTTCCAGCCTTTGCTACCTGCGCTGCAACTCGACAAGATATTTGTCCTAAAACGCAAATCAAGAAGAAAATACTCATATGTAGTGACGCAAGTGTCAGGAATTATTCCTCTACACTTGCTGAGCTTTTTCATGGCTCCCTGCATGACACATTTGGATATGTGGGTAGTCAATCAAATGTTGCTGGTTTGATCAGGGCACTCTTTTCCTTGTCTAGTGGACACTCTGTGAATGATACTGTTGTTTTGTGCTTGGATTTAAATAAAACTTTTATCGGGTAATCTAGTTTGAAAAAACTTCTGGCAATTGGTAGGTTTACTAACCTGGTTGTATGTTTTAAATGTAATTTTAATTATTTTCCTAGGAATAAGTTTTTTAATATTGTATACTTTGTTGAAGATTTTGTCCGTAAGAATAGTACATCAATTAGATTGATAAGTGATGTTTGCGATGTTTTCGATTTCCGGCATTCTATTGGCTCTATGTGTGAGTGACTCTATCATCACATAATCACTCCCTTCGTTCAAAGTAAGATAGTCTTAAGAGCAATACCTATATCTACACACTCGAATGTAAGCTTCCAAAGTCCTGCGCTCCATGAGTCCCGGACTCGCACCTCCTTGTCACATACTTTTTTAGGTCAGTTGACAACCTGTCACTAGGTATTCTTCTATTGAATGTTCAGTCACTTAGACCTAAAATCAATGAATTTGAGCTTCTTGTTGAAAGCGTCAGTTATCCACAAATAATTCTTTTGACTGAGCACTGGCTCAAAGAACAGGAACCAATTTTTTTCTCAAAATACTCTATTGTTTCAAAATATTGTAGAAGAGTCTTCAATAATGGTGGTACTTTGGTTCTCTGTCGGAACGATTTTCTTGAAGCTTCTGGCTTGGTTGACATTGACAAATTTTTTTATGTAGTGATAAGGTTTTTGAGCTGTCTATTGTGTATTGTAATATTTTGAATCTGTTTATTGTCTGTTTGTATCGTTCACCTGGTTCTGACTGTGAGATGTTCCTCAACAAACTCGAGGTGATTCTAAACGAAATTCCGCCTACAGCCTCTATTATATTGGCCGGCGACTTTAACATAGATTATGAACAATCAAATTTGCATTCTGCTCGTAAACTTAGAAACTTACTTATCTCTTTCAATTTGGTTATGCATGTTTAATCTCACACTAGAATAACAGGGCGAACAGCCTCAACTATTGACTAATTGTGTTCTAATATAGATCTAACTAAGGTTGAATGTTCTGTGATTCCTTCTGGTTTGTCAGACCATGAGGCAGTGATTGGCAAGTATAAATTTGAATCTTGCACAGTTAAGAAAAAATGTTTTAAGCGTGGCCGTTTGTTTTCTGGACAAAATTTCAATGTGTTTGGACAATTATGCTCTGATTTTGCATGGGAAGGCTCTGGGGGTGCTGGCATAGATTTGGAGACATTCTATGGAAACCTCCTAAATATTTTCAACTCTGCGTTTCCGATCATAAATCTCAGATCAAAAAACAGTAAACCCTGGGTTACAAAAGGTTTGAAGATTGCTTCAAAGAATATGAGATGCTTACATACATTGAGGAAATTCTTTATGGGCAATACTTTTTTCATGAGCTATTTCAAAAACTACATAGGAGCGTGTATCGTAGGGTGATTAGGGAGGCTAAGCGGTCTTATTACTATTCTCGCATTGTAACGGCTGGCAACAAACAGAAGGAGATCTGGACTATTGTGAATGACCTGCGAGGGAAAAAAATCCAAATACATATGTCAATATACAGGGTGAACCAAAAGTCTTTTTACTTTTCAAACAATAATAAAAAAAAATAAATAAATGGGAGAAAAATGTTAATATTATGTTCTATTTTGACACTGCTGCAACCTGGAGTGGAAATTTTCGATAACGGCTTCGATTGAAATGTAAACGGACTTATGGTCCACCCTGTATTTAGCCTGTTCGAAGATGGACTATAATTTTCATTCTATAATATTTCAATTTCAGGTGATGAGAATTAAATGTTCTCGGTACATAAAAAAAAAATACTTTTAAATAGCTCGTAATACCTTGGCTTACCACGAAATACTTCGAATTACTTTGAAATACTTCGAAATACTCCGAAGTATTAGGCAATACCACGAAAAATTAGGTTGGAATTACCAACACCGAAATACTTTGACTTTCGCGAAATACTTGCGAAATACCGACATTTTCGCAATATATGTACACATTTTTACAGAGTGGTTGACCCCTAGGATAAATAAGACTGTATATCCAGAAGACCAATCTTATCCTTCAAACAGAACAAGGAGCCATTTTTTGGAAGGCATGTGGATAGCTGTGATGATGAAGATAATTATGAGGATGATGAAGATGATTATGACTATGACGAAAAAACAGGACATTATTTTCAAAGCGACTATTCTAAGGATTCTGAAAGAGAAAAGAGAAGGATAGATGAGATGAATATTGTTCTTTGAAAGAAGATATAGACGTAGATGTAGAGAAGGTTATAGGATTGAATTCATACTAACATGGAAAGGTTGAGGAAGTAGTCAGAAACAGAAAATACAAAACTGTATAATTATTCAAAACTTGTATGTATCTGGAAAGAAGGGTTGAAGAGATCTATTGCGAGAATACATTGTCAGATAAATCCGGAACTGACAATCAAAATGTATTTAGGTATGTTGAAACTCTGTATCGACTTTAGTGGACAATAGTCTGTTTCATTGCAGTTGATAGCTCAAATCGAGGTTTAGGGTTAAACCATTCTAAACCATAGGGTTTACAATGACTTTATAGTCCTAACCCTCAATTTATGCGATCAACTGCAATGAAACAAACTATACCTACATCTTTAAACATTAAAATCGATATCGATTTCCATGTCTAAGTTACTATATTATCTCGTAGGTATGAATAGCTTTATTAAAATAATTGTTGTATTATATATGCATCAATTTATAAAATTGTTTTGTAATGTTTGTGAAAGGTAAAATGTTAACAGAGACTGGAAGTGTTTTATAAAATTTTAATATTAAAAATTCTTTAATTGAGATTTTATTGGGTGTTATATTGATAAAGTATGTTTTACTAATGTATCTGATTAGTGAATATACACAATATTATCAATTATCTTGTTGATTTGTTTGGACGAGTAACCATAAAACAGGGGAAATTTCCCATAAACTTAAGCCTCAAAGCCAATACTGCACCTCTCTGTTGCATTTTGCGAAGAGAAAGTTTTTCGTTGCCAATAAATAATACCGGCCATATAATAACATATCATTAAATTTAACCTCCTAAACTTACCAAGCTTTTTCTTCTAAGTTAAATCCATCTCAACAAAAATAAATTCCCGCCGAAAAAATTTAGCCAAAAACGAAACGTATCGATACGCGAAACCGCATCGATATCGATACAGAAACACACGCAACCGACTCTTCTGTAGATCCCTGACAGACTGTGTAGCTAGAAAACCAAAAGCGAGCCAGCAAACAGCAAAGCTCAACGGCTCGGCTGTTGGCTTTGGAGCAACCGAAAGACCGCAAAGAAGAGGGAGAAAAGCTCGCGAGGCATATCAACCGGGCGAAAAGGTTTTTGTTTTATTGACTTTAAATCATCAAAACACCCTGTATAAGAACTTATGTAATCCGTTTTTATAAAACATTGAAATTAAGTTAAATTTTGTATAAATATCTACTCCCAAATTCTTATAGTTTTTTTCTTGTGTTCATCCAACCAGTTAAGATAAAAATAACTCCGAAAAGTCAATTTATATACTCTTGTTCGGATGGTAGGGAGGGATAGGTATATAATTAATTTGGACGCGTGTAATACAAGTTAATCCTCGACGTATAACATGTCGCACGATTTTTTGGGGCTTCGTTAAGTATCGGGTTACACAAATATAACGTTAACGTGCTCATTGTAATAAATCTCTAAAGTTAACAAGACTGGTAAGAGTAATGGTAGGTGGCGCGGTCGGGGGGGTGTATTTTGCATTTCAGCTCACTCTTGAACGAGTTCTCGAGAGCATATTCTCTGTCTACTACGTCATCAGGTACTCGAAAAAAAAACCCTTTTTTTTCCCCGGTTCCAAAGTGAAAAGTTTTAATTCGCACCCCATCCAGAGAATACAGAAAGATAGAAAGAGGGTAATAAGAGGCGCCGAATGCTTTATACCGAGTGTGACTCTTTTTTTCTTTTTGAATTATTTAATACCAGCCCCCAGTAGACGGGAAATTGGCAAATTATTTATTTAAGATAATTAAAACCATGCATGTTTTAAAAAATAATAATTTATTAGTCTTGATTAACTAGCTGAGAAAAATGGCTTTCGCTATTGTTTAACAAACTATCGGGACTGTCAAATTCTACAATTTCGCCGTCTTGCAGTACCAAAACCCTGTCAGAGTCCATGATTGTTTGTAGGCGGTGGGCGATTGTTATCACTGTACTTTTCCTGAAGGCAGAACGTAGGGTTATTTGGATTTGGCGGTCGGTTTCTTGGTCAACGTTCGCTGTTGCTTCATCAATACATAGAATCTATTAAGAAGAATTAAAGATAACTTATATTCAAAGCAAAAATTGTATCAACAACTTCATCTACTCCTTGGAGTTGAAGACACACACATATTTTTGCTAGTTGGAGGAGTACAGGTTCAAATTTTTGGATTAATGGGACATTGGACCAAGTATTTGTCCGAGTTTCATTCATTTAGAATATTCCCGTTCATACTTATCTACATACCGTTTTGTAAACAAATTCGTAGATAAGTGACTATACACTTCCAAAATTAATGTAGCTACCTTTATTCATGTCAATAACACAAAATTCATGACACTATTACAACTTTAACCAAGTCACAAGACTAAATCACAACTCACTGTCTCACTGAATCAGTCTTCCACTGATTATCCATCCGATTTACCAGGTAATGTTGCAACATTGTACACAATTTCCCCACAATTGGGTTAGTTTTTTTTTTTTGCAATGTTTTTTCAGTTTTCCATACTTTTTCAAGTTTTTACGTACTTTCCTTTCCTTCTTCTGGTCTGGGGCCGTTTCTATTTTGCGTTTCAGCCGAATGTCCTGGAATAACCTGGGGATCATTCCAATTGCTATCAGAGCTGGGCAGGGCTTGAGTGCTTTGTGCTTGCGAAAGTGCTTGAAGCACTTTGAGGACTTGAAAGCCCTGTGCTTCAAGCCCTTTTATAGATTTGTAATTGGGGCTTGCAAAGTCAATTACTTTAGTAAAGTGCTTGGTAATTTGTAATTAAAAAAGTAATTCAAGCCCTTTCAATGAGCTTCAATTACTTTTAGAGGGCTTGAAGCACTTTTGGGAGCTTGAAGCCCTTTGAAAGGGCTTGAAGCACTTTGAAAGGGCTTGAAGCACTTTGAAAGGGCTTGAAGCACTTTAAAAGGGCTTGAAGCACTTTAAAAGGGCTTGAAGCACTTTAAAAGGGCTTGAAGCACTTTAAAAGGGCTTGAAGCACTTTGAAAGGAATTTGAATTGACCATCATTCAACCTATCCCCCACTTAAACATTTTCGATCGTGTTTTGTCCCTTAATTTTTTTTTCTATTATTTGAACTTGAACCGTCTTATGTCTTTTCTCTCTTGACAATGAAGGTTTTGAGCTTAGAATGGAATTAAAAAAAAAAAAATTAATGAACTTATTATTCAAATAAATAAATAATTTATAGGTACCCTATTTAACTTTATCACTGGATTTTTTTCACTTTTCCCCATTGAACATTTTGAAAACCTTAAAATTGAATTACCATGTAGTACAACTACCCCAAGTACCCCAGAACTACATCTCAAAAAAAAACATACTACTGCTACGTTGTGGAATGTGAAGTTCGTCTTTACTATACCAATTCTGTGTGATGAGTGTACGCGGTAACTTATGCCACTTTGAGAATTTTATTAAAAATTCAAAGTGCTTTAGGCACATTTAAAGAGCTTCAAGCACATTTAAAGAGCTTGAAGCACATTTAAAGAGCTTGAAGCACAGTTAAAGAGCTTGAAGCCCTTTTCAAGGCACCCCAAGCTCTTTTGATGTGCTTCAAGCACTTTTCAAATCACTTTGAGGGCTTTGTGCTTGTCAAGCCCAAAGCACTTTGAGGGCTTTGTGCTTGTGAAGCACTTTTGAAAATAAAAAGGAATTTGTGCTTGAAATTGAAGCACTTTGATAGAGGGCTTAGGGCTTAGTGCTTCAAGCCCTTTTACTGAGGGCTTTGCCCAGCTCTGATTGCTATCATTGTTTCCATTCTTCCTGTTTGTCTTTCAACAACAAATTGTTCTTGGAAAATTTTCTGAACCAATCCTGTTCTGTTTTTCTTCCTATAGTCTGCCTTTCAAATCTTGCAAAATAGTTTGAAGCCCGTCCCAGTCTTCTTGTTTTCTTTATGTCTTCTTCTTCTTGTTTTTTTTTTTCAGTCATTTGTCTTCTTCTTTCTATTTTTCCTTCGGTCGTCTTTCTTCTGGGTCTTATAAAATTTTCTAGATCTTGTCCCGTTCTTTTTGTCTCTCTTCTTCTCCTTGTTTTACTAATTGTCATCTGTCTCCTACTTCTTGTTTGTATTTTTGTTCCGTTTTTCCTTTCGGTGATTTGTCTCTTTGGTCTTGCAAAATTTTCTGAAGATTGTTTTTTGTTTTTCTCTTTGGCGCCTGTTTGTTTTGGTACAGTCCATTATTCTAGTTTTTCTTTACATCATTTGTCTTCTTTTTTCTTGTATTTCACACTACCGCCTGTCTTCTTCTTGTTTTTGTTCTAGTCGTTTGTCTTTTTCTTTCTATTTTCCTGTCTTTTAGTGTTTGCAAAATTTTCTAGAGCTTGTTTTCTGTTCTTCTTATTTTTCTTTCAGTTGTATTTTTTCTTAATCTTATAAAGTTTTCAAGAGCCGGTTCCGCGTTATTCTAGTTTTTCTTTATGTCATCTGTCTTCTTTCTGGTTTTCTTACTACCGTTTGTCTTCTTCTTCTTGCTTGTTTTTTAGTCGTTTGTCTTCATCTTTCTATTTTTTTTCTTTCATCTGTCTTCTCATTATTGTTCTGTCTTCGTCGTCCATATTCATACTTCCATAACACTGGCAATGACAGAGCAATCGTTCTCATGAGAACGCTGTTCCTCGGTTTCGAGAATAAAGTCCCTGCTGGTGAAGCGCTGTTTCTGTTGACATCCCTGTCCGATATGCATACTCTTCTGAGTGTAGTGGTCGGCTGGCCAACACACCGTCCCTAATGTACTATCTACAAGTTTTCCCAGTGTCTTTAGCTCAAATAACGTATAACTTATGGGTCTTGGAGACTTTGCCATGTTCTGTCCTATTTTTTTCAGGCTTTGGTAGGAACGTTACCCTAATGTGTTTCCAATTGTTTGGTATATAGCCAAAGGCTAGGCTTGCTAGTTCAGTTCCGTTTTGTAATATTATGAGATAGATCTCATCTGTCTTTGTTTACTTGTAGGAGTCAAAGGTAATTTTTCCGGAATTTTATTCAATTTCAATAGAATTTAACGTAATTTCTTTTCTTGAAATTCCATCGAACTTCATTAGAAGTTAACATAATTTTTTAGAATTGTACATAATTTCACTGAAATTCGATTTAATTCCACTAGAATTCCAATTTCACTAAAATTTCAGTAAAAAAAATTAATTATTCCGGAATTCGACATAGGTAATTTTTCGGAATTGTACTTCATTTTCCTGGAATTCCATTCAATTTCACTAGAATTTCATTAGAAATTGAAGTAATTTTTTGGAATTTTGCATAATTTCACTAAAATTCCATTTGATTCCACAAAAATTCTACGTCATTCCATGAAATTCCATGTAATTTCAATGAAATTCCAAGTAATTACAATGCCTAATTTTTTTGGATTTCCACTTAATTTCACTGAGATTGTATTTATTTTCACGAAAATTTCATGTCATTTTATCAATTTTTTTTCCAATTTCCCTGGAATTCCATTCAATTCCACTAATATTCCATTTCTTTCACTTAATTTCACTAAAAATTAAAGTAATTTTTCCGCAATTCGACATAATTTCTTCGAAATTCTCCTTCATTTTCCTGGAATTCCATTCAATTTCACTGGAATTTCATGTCATTTTTTTGGAATTTTGCATAATTTCTATAAAATTTCGCTTAATTTTTATAGAACTCTGCGTAATTTTACTAAAATTCCATTGAATTCCACTAAAATTCTACGTCATCCCAAGAAATTTCATCTAATTCCAATGAAATTCCAAGTAATTTCAATGCCTAATTTTCTGGGATTTCCATTTAATTTCACTAAAATTGCATTTATTTTCACGAGAATTTCATGTCATTTTATCAATTTGTTTTCCAATTTTCTGGAATTCCACTTCATTTTCCTAGAGTTTCAATAAATTTCACTGAAATTCCGTTTAATTTTACTAGAATTCCACTTCATTTTCTTGAAATTTCATTTAATTTCACTAAAAATTCTAATAATTTTTCCGGAATTCGAAATAATTTCTTCGAAATTGTCCTTCATTTCCCTGGGATTCCATTCATTTTCACTAGAATTTCATTAGAAGTTAACGTAATTTTTTGGAATTTTGCATAATTTCTATAAAATTTCGCTTAATTTTTATAGAATTCTGCATGATTTCACTAAAATTCCATTGGATTCCACTAAAATTCTACGTCATTCCATAAAATTCCATCTAATTTCAAAAAAATTCCAAGTAACTTCAACGCCTAATTTTATTGGATTTCCATTCAATTTCACTAAAATTGCATTTATTTTCAAGAGAATTTCATGTCATTTTATCAATTTTTTTCCAATTTTTCTGGAATTTCACTTCATTTTCCTAGACTTTCATTAAATTTCACTGAAATTCCATTTAATTCCAATCGAATTCCACTTCATTTTCTTGGAATTCCATTTAATTTCACTAAAAATTCAAGTAATTTTTCCAGAATTCGACATAATTTCTTCGAAATTCTCCTTCATTTTCCTGGAATTCCATTCAATTTCATTAGAGGGTAATGTAATTTTTTGAAATTTTGCAGAATTTCTATAAAATTTCGCCTAATTTTTTATAGAATTCTGCGTGATTTCACTAAAATTCCATTGGATTCCACTAAAATTCTAAATCATTCCATGAAATTTCATCTAATTTCAATGAAATTCCAAATAATTTCAATGCCTAATTTTCTTCGATTTCCATTTAATTTCACTGAAATTGCATTTATTTTCACGAGAATTCGATGTCATTTTATCAATCTTTTCTAATTTCCCCGAAATTCCACTTCATTTTCCTGAACTTTCATTAAATTTCACTAAAAATTCAAGTAATTTTTCCGGAATTCGACATAATTTCTTCGAAATTCTCCTCCATTTTCCTAGAATTTTATTCAATTTCACTAGAATTTTACGCCGTTTCTTGAAATTCATTAGAAGTTAACGTAATTTTTTGGAATTTTGCATAATTTCTATAAAATTTTGCTTGGTTTTTATGGAATTCTGCATAATTTTACTGAAATTTCAGTAAATTGAATTCCATGTTTATTCCAATTAATTCCGCACAATTCCACTAAAATTCCACATAATTTTTATAGAATTCTGCATAATTTTTTTACCTAATTTGATTCAATTTTTTTGAAATCTAACGTTTTTGTTTGGAATTATACGTTATTTCCTTGAAATTTTATTCAACTTAAATCTACATAATTTCTATGGGATTTTGATTCTATATATAATTTAAATTTTTTTTCTTGCATCACCCTGTAAGGAGATATCGTCCGATATCGCACTAAGTGGACACCCTGTATAACTGCATCAAAAAGCTTCTTTATTAACCTACTGATTAGTTGCACTCAAAATCTACTTACAAAATTTGTAGATTATGCGTCTCTATTGCCTACCCCCTCCATTCCTTATGCAGGCTTCTCCCTCTGGCCAATAACAAAATACCCTCATTTAAACTCCTCCCTGTCTTCGCCGTCTGGAGTTGGTCAGCCCAAGTAGCACACTTATTAGAAATGTTCAAGTGGACATCACCTTTATAGCGAGAGGGTTCGGCAAGCCTCCGCCCAAGGCCACTTGGACCTTGAACGTGAATAACATCCTACAAAATTCTTGTTTTTCTTTGTCGGTCGTTATTTTCTTACTACCGTCTGTCTTTCTTATTCTTCTTATGATGTGTGAATTTTCGGGCTGTTCGATCTTTGTCGTTGGAGATCGGTTCTCGACGTTTCGTCATCACGAGTCGATAGCATCTTCTTGCTAAGCGACTGATCGAAGACAAGACTGACATTCCTCTTCGGTAGCTGACTCCGTTTTATAGCGTGTCGTTCCTTTTAGAATTGTCTAGATTATTCGCTTCTGTTTTTCTCGACTCCCTTAAACTATTGCGCGGTAAACTTCCATTTGCGAAGTAGGTGATCAAGCAATGTTGCAAGACTGTTCACAATTTCCTCAAGAGATATTGTTGTAACCATAAGAATTTTCAAAAATACTAATTAAATTGATGAAACAAAAACTCTAACCTGTACTTTTCCATCCAGAACAGAAAACAGAGGATGAATCAAAAGTATAAAGAGTTGAGCTAGGAGCTAAGAATTTTAAAAACATGTACAGAATATTACTTTTGAGAAACCTCAATATTTAATTTTTATCCAATTCAAGATGTTACCTTGCAATTATGCAACACAGCTCTGGCCAAACAAATGAGCTGTTTCTGCCCAACTGAAAAATTAGCTCCACCACCCTCCACGATTTTGCTCAGCCCTCCAAGATTTTTCAAGGTGACCTCCAAGTTAACCTTCGACAAGGCACTCCAAATGTCCTGCTCCCTGAACTCTTGCAAAGGATCCAGATTGTCCTTAAGAGTACCACTGAACAAAAATGGGTCCTGGGGGATGCAAAACAATCTCGAACGTAAACTCGCCAAACTCATACGTTGTATATTGACCGAGTCTATACAAATATCGCCCTTGCAAATTTCTGTCAGTCTAAAAAGGGCCGATATTAGGGAGCTTTTGCCAGCTCCTGTACGTCCAACTACTCCAACTTTTTCCGAAGGGCGAGTTTCGAATGTTATATGCTTCAAAGATGGAGCTAGATGTTCACTGGAAATTTTTTATTATTGCCTTTACAATATCTATCATCACAAACATACCGATATTTCAGAAAAACATTACTAAAACTAATCACTCCTTGTGTGGGCCACCCAAAAGGAGGTTCCATAATAAAATGTGAAGTTTCCAAAGGAATTTCGTTAACATATTGATTGACTCGCTCAACAGCAATCATTTCACGTTCGGTTTCTGTAAAGGCGTTGACAACACCACTTAACAGTGACGTTACTGATAAAGCGTAAGAAATGGCTAAACCAATAAATCCTAGAAACTAAAAAATTATAGATTGCAGTTAATTATTTTCCTGGCATAATCACCTGCATTGGCAACATCGTACTGATGTTGTACAACAGCAATAAAACTCACGCCGCTCACAATAGCAACACCGATAAATTGCAACCTCAATCCTAACCACCGTATAGCTATTTGGGAAGCAAATTGAGCCTTAATATTGGCATCAACGTATAGCTGGTTTTCCCTTTTGAATCGCTGATTGGCTCTCATGGCGTTGATGGTAGTTAGCCCTTGAAGGGTTTCGTTGAAATGGCTGTAGACTGGCGACAAGGTGACGCTACAAATACGTTTGAGTTCGCGCGAAGTCAGTCTGTAGTAGTTTTGTAGCCAATGGTAAACTGGTACCAGAGGTACTAGAAACATACAAATCCATGGAAGACCGTAAATTGTTATTCCAAGAGAACCTATATATAGATGGAATTGGAATAATAATAAAACTAGGTGAGTGTAATAAACTTACCTAATAAACCAAAAAATTGGGCCAATAAGAGGTTTAAAATAAACGGTAAAGAATCATCAATAGTGTATGTATCACTAGAGAATCGATTCAAAAGACGTCCTACGGGAGTGATATCGAAAAAATGCGATTTGCCTTTGAGTACTGATTTTAAAAGGTACTTGTGGAACTTTTGAGCAGCCACTATACCACCGTAGGCAAACAAGAAAGCCCTTATTAAAGTTAATACTGAATTAACTAAAGCCAATTCAACGTAGATTTTTAAAAACGGTGTGGTACTACTGTCTTCTAAATTGGCCATTAAAATAGGTTCTAACAATGTAATATTGGTACCATTTTTTGTTTGGTCATTACTAACCCATTCGGCTAGCCACCAATCCGTCATATTTCTTGAAATCTAAAATAATTATTCTTTGATCATGAAGTCAGTTTGGGCCAAAAGATGCTTACCTGCATCGATACAATCGATAACAGTATTGATAAGCATAATAAATGCCCTATACTTGACCAATAGGAAGCGTAAACGCTGAATTTCAAATTTCCAGTTTCGCTCACTTCTTCATTCAACAAAATGTCATTGTTTTTGATTGAATCCGGGGTTGAAAAGGCGCCGCTGTCAAGTAAAGAGTCGCCGGATCGGATGCTTTCGCCCAACTCGAGGTCGATTACTAGGGAATTGTCAATGTCGCGGAGGACTTCAGAAGGTTTACCTTGGTAATAATATTAAATGCAATTTAAACGCCAATGTAGTACGAAAAAACAGATTCACAACACGAAAAAATTCTACAGCGTGTAGATAATATACAGAGAGGACCAGGCTACTAGACACATAAGCTTCAATGAGACCAGTTGACTGATACCCTGATGATTCATCACGTTATTAAAATTTGTGCATCTTCGGCAGTTCGCCCATACGAGGCATCGACAGCTCGGCTATACTAGGATACAAACTAATTCGTCCTGTGTGTCTAGTATAGATTCACGAGATTATCACTGTCCCTACCCACATTACGATGGCTGGTTCGTTGGTGCGCGTTGGTAAAACCCACCGAACTGTCGATATCGTGTCTATATCTCACAATAGGGGGAGGAGAGAGGAGCTCTCGAACGATCCCAAGTAGTATACCAAAGCGAGTTTCACTGGAAAAATCCGAGCATAACCTCAATCTTGCATTCTTGACACGAAGGTGGATGCGCCAAAAAATAACGGCGCCATCTTGTCAAACGACATGGCGCAATCTGGCAAACGTCATGGAGCCATCTGTCGAGAGTGGCGTGAAGTAGGCAAATAACCGACAAGCATGGATTCGAAATTACAGGTTCCTGTAATATGGAGTTTGCGTGTAAGGGATCGTTTTATATGATGTCGTTGAGATGTCGCTACGTATATTTAATTATGGTTCAGATTCTGTGTGCTGTGACGACGTCATAGCGGCCTGGGTTACGTCAGTGTGTGTCGGTGGCGCCATCTAGCGTTCGTAGTGTCAAACTCGTTGTGTCGTATAACAGGATGCTGTATAAGGAAAAATTCTTGAATCATTACGCCGCCCAAGGTTCCACGTCGCCGACGTTTAATATGAGAACGTTATAAATAGGGGGAACATGTTTCACGGTTATTTTTTTATGGCGTCATCACAGAACCCGAACCAAAAATCGAACTTCGCACCATGTATATACACTAGATGGCGTCACCGACACACACTGACGTAACCCACGTGACCCAGGCCGCTATGACGTCATCACAGAACCCGAAACATAACTATATATATACGTAGCGACATCTCAAAGACATCATATAAAACAATCTCTTCCACGCAAACTCCATATTACAGGAGCCTGTAATTTTGAACCCATTCTTGTCGAATATTTGTACAACTTCACACCACTCTCGACAAATGGCGCCATGACGTTTGACAGATGGTGCCATACAGTTTGACAAGATGGCGCCATGACGTTCGACGCGTTCGACAGATGACGCTGTTATTTTCCGGCGCATCCACCTTCGTGTCAAAAATGCAAGATTGAAGTTATGTTCGGATTTTTGTAGTGAAACCCGCTTTGTTATACTACTATCCCAGAATTCTGGACAAAATTTCAGAGTCTCTCTCTAGAAAGCTGGCTACCGTCTCGTTTTCCGTAAGAAAAGGGGAAATCTACGAATGATTCCAGTTAATGTGGCTGAAAATTCCATGAGCCCAGATACCCGGTTGATGGGGCTTTACTTAAAACCGTAACAGATTATTGACCGTAACTCGTCCGGCGAAATAAAGGTGTAACCTGAGTAATGCCCGTAGTCTATAAGAGAGTGATTTAAAAAACGCATCACATGTAGGCTCATTTCGTTACACGAGAAAGATATAACGTAGAGACATGGAGAAAGACAGCCAATGACAATGACAGTCAACGAACGATTGACACAAACGAAGGTTTATAAGCAAAGGGGATTGCCTAATATTGTCAAACGCCGATACCCTTGTGACGTCACTACAGATGCGCGTCTCCTTTTTGTGTGGTACTTCGTCTGTACTCCGACTCATACTTGTATGACCGGGGAATACCATGTGTACGGCGCTGTACATTATTGTTTTTTCCACTTTATTTCTGTTTCTTTCTTTCTTATTGAATTTCTTATATTGCTGTCTCTCTATTAGTTCAACCTCTTGGCCACTCAAGCGCCGGGAATAATCAAAGTTTGAGTCACTATTTAATCTATCCCACTTTATCTCTGTCTTTTTTTTAACCGGTAAGTTTCTTATATCGTTCTCTTTGTCTTACATGCTTATTTTAGGCTTTTTATTGGCCAGATACAAAAATTACATACATATTCCTGCCGCGTGACTGTATCCTACCAGTTCTCATATATGGCGCAGAAACCATGCTGGTGATATCACTTAGCGACAGAGTAGGATGAGGAGATCCGCAGAAGAACAAAGATCTCAAGGTTGAAGTGGAGATGGTCTGCTCATGACAAACAGACAACAGAGGACGATAAAACTTTGGACAATGGAGGCCAAGGTCAGATAAACGAAATCCTGAAGACCATCTACTAGATGGACAGATGAGTTAACAAGGATCAACACCAATTAGATTGCAGCTGCGCAGAATCGAGAAACCTATGTACAACAGCGGACGGAAATGGTTAAACGATGATAATGATGGCGTGTGTTTCATAAGATAATATTCTTATATTCTAGTCTCTTTATTATTCCAAGCTCTTGGCCACTCAATCGCCGGGAATAATCAAAGTTTGCGTCACTATTTATTCTATCCCACTTTATCTCTGTCTTTTTCTCAACCGGTAAGTTTCTAATGTTGTTTTCTTTGTCCTACTTGCCTATTCTGGGCTTTTTATTGGCCAGATACAAAAATTACATACAAGCTACTAACTACCGGGTTGATGAGCTTTACTTAGAACCGTAACTCGTCTCAATAGTTGGCGCGGGCGAAAGACCCCTAATGTCTACCCTATCCCAGTATATCTAGGTAACGGATGACTGGGGTATTCCGAAAGCTAGTAGGGGGTACCCCCGATTCCGGACCTTGTCAAGGGAAGGAGACACACCTACTGAGCCCATTTAAAACAAGGAATACAGTGCTGGGTCGACCACATTCGTGCACCGGTAAAAATGCTCGCGACTGTGCTGATTCCAAGGTTCGAGGTTGAAAGGCACAAGCGTGTGTTATTTAAGATGTGGTAGGTACCCACGAGGGTGAGTACCAAATAGCGACTCGTCAAACGTTGCTAGGGGAACCTGGCTAACACGAGTACCCAAAGGAGGTATGTGTGTCTAGTAGGTTAGTCCGCTCTGTAGACATGATACGCATACTAATATCATATGAACATAGAAATTTTACGGAAAAATATCATAAACATACCTTGTCTTTTAATCAAACCATCTTCCATGACAAAAATCCTATTAGCATACGCCAAAAATTGCACGTGATGAGTGCAAAGAATTTTCGTCTTCTCTTTCAACAAGCCCAAAATACAATGTTGAAAAATATGTTTGGCAACATTGCGGTCTACTGCCGACAAAACATCGTCCAACAAATAGACGCATCTACACAAAAACTCTATAATTTTTCAATTATTTTATTGAACAACAAGCCACCTACTTGTCCTGATAAACAGCCCTGGCCAAAGCTACTCGGGCCTTTTGTCCTCCGGACAACGTCATTCCGCCTTCTCCAACCCCCGTCATATCACCATTAGGTAAAACGTTGATATCCTCCATTAAACCGCAAGCAAACATTACAGAACGATATTTGCTTTCGTCGTAGGACTTGCCAAAGAGCACATTGTCCTTTAAGGTACCGCGTTGCAACCAAGGTTGTTGAGTAACGTAACCGAAACCACTGTCAACTTGAGATATCGATATTGTTCCAGTGTTAATTGATAGTTCTGCTAGAATGGCCGAGAGCAATGAGGATTTGCCAGAGCCTACTGGACCCATAACACCAATAAATTCCCCCTGTAATGTTTTGTATAGTGGAGTAACAAAAATACATCAAACAATATTTTACCTTGCGAATTTTCAGATCAAGCCCTTTTAAAACGAATGGATGATCTGGATTTAAGTTAACTCCCCGATTTTTGCCTCGTCCCTTTCCTTTCCGAGACTGTCTTTGATGCAAATTGCTTCGTTCTTCATCACTTAATTCTTTGCCATAATTAAAACCAGCATTCACCATTACAAGGTCATACATGTCCGCCTCCTCTAACGGCTTATAATACGTAATCAAGTCTAAATTTTCCAGTTGCAAAAGCTTCTGGATGCGCTTTATGCTCACCCAAGCCTCTGTGAGCCCATTTAGCACCCAAGGGAAGGCGTTAAGAGGAGCTATGAGCATATTCAATAGAGCTACGGAGGTGAAAACGGTAGCGGCAGTCAATTTGTTACCGAGTAACACGTACGTCACAAACGTCAATATACAAATGACTACAGGAGTTGTGGCCCAAAAGTATACGCACAACGCGTCCAAGTATTTGCGTCCTTTCAAATATTTCAACTCTTGACTTCTGGTTCGGGATATTTGCCGTAAGAAATGATCTTCCCATACGTGCAACTTGATGCTTCTAATTCCCCGTAATACCTCTGTAATGATTTTTACACGGGAATCTTTATGCTCCATTAGTTTTGTGCTTAGTTGGCCTATTTTGTTGGCAATTAGTTTGTTGATCGGTATCAGGACTATGCTGAACAGTAGGCCGGCTACAAAGGCCAGGCCTACTTGACTGTAGAGTAGGTAGAGGGTGACAGCGAGCTGAAAAGAATTGTTACAAAATGACGTTTTGACTGATCAAGTTTGTAAAGACAAAATTTTCAAAACTGTTTGTTTCTGGGTTTTCATCAACAAAGTACCCCAGTACGAGAGCAATATTATTAGAATTTGACGTAAAATGTAAACAAGATCGCACTCGTACTTGTATGATAGTGATGTCTTTCGGACCACTCTGTATAAGAGCTCCAAATCCTAAAATATTCTAACCAAAATAAACACTCTTATCCCATAGCATAATAAAAAATCAAATGACCGGCACAAACTTTTAACTCGACTTTTGGCGCCAAATTGGACCAATTCCCAGACGATAACCGTTTAGAAAAAAAAAAGGGCATAGAAAAACAAACGGACGATTTATATCTTGATTATCTGAGACCCTTTTGTCTACGCCTTATCACACACTTTGGCCACAGGCGGAATATCATAACAAATAAATTCAAACTTTTCCGGAAGTTTTTGTTTTTTCAGGTCACGTCTGGAATAATTTTATCATGGTCTCATAACCAATGACATATTAACATGGATAGACATTACAGTAACAAAAGGAGCGATCTACCTTCGGTGTATCCCCTCCAACTAGGTTTTTACAGATTGATATTTTATCTTGTTATGACTATCATCATGTAGGTATATCATTTGAGTTAGAGGCAGAGAGAGTTGCATTTGTTCATTATTTTGGTCAAATTGATGACGGGTTGAGAGGAGAGGGCCGATCTTGTTCATTTGGGGATTCTTATACACCTGATAATACCTTATTTTAATTTGTAGTTAAGAATAGACCGATCTCCTATTACCTGAACTGCGCGCGTCGCTTGTAGGCTGCAGGTGAGCGTCCAATGAGAAGCAAGTTTGTGACAGGCTTGCGTCATATTCTTATTCAGGGGCCAGTTCAGAATGAATCGTTCCTTCTTTCTTTGTAACGTGTAATTCGACAAAGAGCAAACTAATACTCTACATAATACTTGAACTCACCGCAGTGTCGTTTAAGGTTATGTTAGATTATAATTGACATATTCCTTTGCAATGTCATTGTGCGATGTTGCCGGATGAAACATTTATCAAAATAAAAGTGCAAACGATGTTCATCCACTTTAAAGCTCTTCTTTTGTTTGATTTAAGACGTTGTAAAACACTTAACACTGTATCACTTCTTTAATGTTATAATGTTCGATTTGTATTATCTACATTTGTTCTTCAACAATATAATCTGGCTACACTGCAGCCTACAAGTTGCGCGCGCATGTCATCTTTCATTGCTTTCTAACTTGTATTTATTACAATTAAGCTCCCTTTTTCTAATCATACGAGATAGGTCTATTAGCATAGGTCTATTGTTGTCATGAAGAATCAACAGTCTATCAATAAAATAATATACATATTTAGCAACGTCTAAACCTTAATATTAAAAAAAATTAGCTGAACAGCTATAGTTTACACCTCTGATGCATCCCCACTATGATCTACCCTCGAGCAGCTCACCTCCCCTGGCCCATAGGAAGTCTTGACAACAAACATCAGTTTATGAATGATTAACTTACTTGAAAAGGTATACTCCATAGCGCATGAAAACTCGGACAAGAATTGACAATCCTGTCACAATCTGTGGACATAAAATTGACAATTTCCCCCACCGAAAATCGACCGTTGAGTTCTGCGCTGTTCACACTCAAAGTTTTCTTATAAATCATAGTTACTATGGCACTACGCATGCGAAAAGTAACTTTGGAAATCAAAAAATTAAAGTGACAGTCGCAAAGGGAAGTCACAAGAGTGGTAGCCATAAGTCCGCATGCGTACAAGTAACCCCACGAGATTTCTTCTTCTTTGGTTTCTATAAAGTTAATCAATCTAGAAACATTTAAGTATAGTAATTTTTAATTTTGCAAAATTTTTTAATTTTGTACTTATTGAGCAGCATCGGACCACCGAATCCTGCCAAGTCAGCTACAAGCTTCAAAATTCCCACACTATAAAATTCCAACCAAAATACTTTGTGTAGGGCCTTGAGCAAGAAAAAGTCACTGTTATTGGCTGAAACATTTCGGACATGTTCTGTGATTGGTTGAAGTTCTTGGATGGCTAAAAAAATTTAAAATCTTTGTAATACACTCTCAAAGATCGATTTTAATTTTTTCCTGCCTCGTATGCACAAAGGCAAAATTTGCAACAATACCGCCTTTATTTATCTCCAGCCGGGAGGCTTTCTTTGTCAAAACCGACTTTTCATTTTCGAGTAATCGGGATAATTGAAGCGTTGCCAGATTTACTTACGGTGTTTTTGTTCGTATAGGGCTCGGTCCAGTTCGCCGCTTACCGTCGCACAGTTTAACGACACAGGTAAGTCGTAGAGGTCGTCACTACTTTTCAATTGCCCTTCGGAACCTTTGAGCATCAAGGGCTCTACCCAGGAGAATAAAAGTTTTGAAAGCCACGTGGTGTTTTCCAGGGCTACGCCCAGATAAGTTGGATCGCCTTCTTCGCTGAAACGAACGTAGGCGTTGGTACCTAACAGTGGTTGATTTTCACCGCTAATCTACGGAAAAAAAGGAAATTTGACTGTTCAGATTTTCATTATTACTTGCTCCTGAATGACTTTTTCTAGAAGAAATGCTTTCACTGTTCAGTTCTCATAGGAACACTTTTTACAATACAATGTCGAGCTGTTTTTCTTTCCTTTCCTAATTTCAAGAACCAAGTAATTACTTACCTCAACGTAACTATTATTGAAGTTCAACAATCTAGTCTCTCCTTCTCCTGGTAAAAGAGACAAAGCATAAAAAATTTGTAAAATAAGATAGCAAAGGCTCATTCCGTAAGCCAAATACTGACTAAAAACTGGAACCGCTGTAGTTTTCAATATCAACAAATGGCTCCGTAAAGAAATCACAGTCAACACAAAAATGGACGACCAAAGAACGCAAATGATCGTCGGCCCTCTGGGACTTTTCCCGAATTTCCGCCGCAAACTTAAATTGTAAAAAAAGTGCACGAACCACGCGAACCCTTGCACGGCGCTCAAAAAATACGCCACCTTCGGAATGATTTCCAAAGTTCGAAAACGAAACACGTAAATTTGCACCAACGGTAAAAGCGCTAGCAAAATTGTCAAAAAACAACGAATATTGATAGCGATTAACTGAGGCCGGCCTCTGGCTACTGTCCCGTCGCTGCGCCCCAAGTAGTAGCTGGAGAAAATAGCTAAGAGGCCCAAAATCGGAATGTCCAGGACTAGTTGCTGGAAACAGAGACCGAGGTCGTGACGTTGGGCGTTCCATATTTCTAGGCCTTCGTCGCCACAGAGACTGGTCAAGTTCCAATTTAACGTCATTTTTCTGTAACAAAGAACCTATTTGTGAAACAGAAATAGTGGAACTGCTCATTAAGTAAGCAATAATAACTGTGGAAGGTGGGAATAAAGGCTTTCATTTTGTTATCTTTCTGATGTCTATTGGAATGTCATAAACTTCTTTTGGAACAAAAAAAAGTGTCTTGCTTACGCATTTTGACCACCTTACCATCTGCACTCTCATAGGGTTTGTTTCAGTAAACTATTTTTGACTAACAGCGCTTTGAGCTTTTAGGTAAAATTTCGTGTAAGATTGGTCTGGAATTGCGGATTTCCTCCAAGTCTAACGCGGGACAGACACTGGATTCTTGTTTGGACACCGCAAGCTCTCCAGTGCCAAATTTCAGGTTGTCCATCAGGGTCCAGACCTTTGAATATATGAATTCCTTTTTGAAATTTAAAAGTTTCCTTCTTGTTGTGGTGAAACTGCTGTTAACTGGTCATATTCTTCTTTTTCCGTCTCTCTGGGATAATTACTCCACAAGTCAGCTTTTAATACAACAAAGTAATTAAAAACGCTAAACGAAGTCATAACGATATTAGGATAAAAAAACGCAATAATCCATCTAAAGTCATATGGGATATTATCAATGAGGGGCGAGGTAAGAAAACATCCTCGCCCACCAGCATTTCACCTCATTGTCTCAATGAATACTTTACAAATATTACACGGCAGTTACTGGTTGGTCTTAACATTGAAAGTGATAGTCCTGAACTTATAACAATTAAAAAAGGCCCTGGGGTTTTCTTTTCATCCTGTTTCTTATGTTGAGGTTAGGGCGAGGGTTAGGGATATAAAAAAAAGAGTTTGAAGAATAAATCAAGTCGTGATATTTACCAGCTTAATGAAGATGGTTCAAGAAATAATCTTATACCCTTTAACTAAGCTAATTAACCTGTCAATTCAAAGGAATCAATTTCCTGGGCCGTTGAAGCAGGCTCTAGTTGTGCCAATATATAAGAACAAGGGGGATATAGAGGAGGCTGGAAATTATAGACCCATTTCCCTGCTTCCAGTGTTGTCCAAGGTCTTTGAGAAATGTATGGCAGTCCAGATAGTTCAATATTTTGAAAATAACAACCTTTTCACAGGGGCACAGCATGGTTTCAGGAGGGGCCAAAGCACGGTCTCGGAATTGTTGAGATTCACTACGCGTCTGCTGGATGCTTTTGAAAATATGGAATACACCAGTACCGTGTTCTTCGACTTGAGCAAAGCGTTTGACTGTGTCTCGCATGTTCTCCTAGCAAAAAAAAATTGAATCTTACAACTCTGTTTTGGGTCCGCTGTTATTTTTGGTATATGTCAACAACTTCTTAGCAGAATGCTTTAACACTGTTGACTTCTGCCTCTTTGCTGATGATACCACTATTAGTATGTGATTCAAAAATTGTGAGGAGATCTCTGGGAGAACACGGGGGACAAAGTCGGCGGTTGGGGACTGGTTTGGGAAAAATAGCTTAATTTTGAATGGGGATAAAACCAGCAGAATGATATTTTCCTGGAGAGACTGTGAGACAGACCTAGAGACGGTGAATAGAGTAAGGTTTCTGGGAATCACGTTGGACCCCATCTTGAAATAGGACCTCCATATCGGGGAACTGGCAACTAAAATCAGCAGAAACATATTTGTGCTGAGGGGTCTGACAGGCATTGTTTCTCAGGGCGGCAAACTTTGCTCTCTGCCATTCATTGCTGTCTTATGGCATAATAGTTTGAGGAGAGGCTGCAGACGCGGGTAGGATTTTTGTAAGAATCATTGCTAGGTTATCATACAAGGCACTTTGTCGACATGCCTGGGTATTTCCATCGATTTTCATTTATGAAAATGTTCTTTTTGCCAAAGTGAACTTGCTTAATTATGATACAAACAGCGACTTCCATACCTATAACACACGAAACATAAACGACCTGGTTACTCGATACTTCAGACTGAAGAAGTATCAGAATGGACCAAATTTTTTGGCTGTAAGATATTTCAACAGTCTTCCGAAATGTATCAGGGATCTCCGGCTTCTGCAATTCAAAATGCTTGTTAGGAAGGAATTAATCTCCAAGGCTTTTAACTCAACTGAAGAGTTTGTGGGCTGTGATAGCATGTTTGACACAGTACCTGATTGTTTTTCTGAATTTGAATTTTACCTTAAATATATTTTTTTCAGCATACTTAATTGATTAGATGTTTAGGATAATTTGTAACTCGATTTTTAATGATTTTATTATCTTATTTATATATATTGACTGTGTAAATTGTTTTAACAATATTAGCATCAATAAAGAATCTGAATCTGAATCTAATGCAAGGGCTACGTAAATCACCCTGTATAGGGTGTCCCATTTGAAACAAATGCCTAAATACCTATTCTACTGCAACTTTTTTCTGGCTCACCCTGTGTATGTAAAATTATTTATAATTTATAGATTCTTGTTAACCCTACAACTTTGCTGTACATGCCCTTGCAGGTTGAAACGGTTTTTGTAAAATAAATTACGAGATAAATTGATATTTTATTCACAATTAAAAATAAATTACTATAGAATAATAATAATAAATGTACAAACTATAGGATGTGATGTTTGTTTTCAAATACCTATAATGGTTTACTTTTCTCATCCAGTAACGTTAAGCTCGAGGTAAAACTTTTACATGTAGGTATACATTACCATACTTATTGGCATTACTGAAATAACTGAAGTTATGATGGTATTATATTGAAATCACCGGAATTACTTTGAAAAAGCAGAACAGTTCTGTCATCTACTAGAGAGAAATCGAACTGAATGGTGTCACTCTCTATTAGAGAGATACATAAACCTGAGCATTGTTGCTGCTGAAATAACTGGAATTTCAAATAATTAAGACGTAGAAAGTTGCAAAATTGATCAGTTACTACCACCATAAGAAGAAAGACAACAAAGAAAAGAACAAACGTTTTGTTAATCAAATGTTTAGCAGAACAGTGCTGTCATCTACTAGAGAAATCTAACTGAATGGTGTCGCCCTCTATTAGAGAGATACATAAACCTGTATATTCTGAAAGTTTCCCAGGTTTTGATTGTTTCCAAAAGTTTCATATGATTTGTAGTGTTTCAAAATACTAAATACTCCTGGAAATTTTAGCTTGTGCAGTCACATGCAGTAGTGTACATTCCATATACATTCACGAAAAATCGTAAGCAGTCGCTGCAAGTGGAGCTTGCAATCTTGTTAGATATTGCTGAAAATCCACTATTATCTTTGATGGAATCAATGCAGTCAAATACAGTAGGTGTACAAAATTTAGTGAGTGAAACACCCCTCGGTTCTGTAGCGTTTTACAATGTTCTTGAAAGTTCCAATTTGTTTCAAACAAATGTAGGAGGATTGAAAATTGAATTGAAAGTTGTTTGAAGCTTATCCAAGTTCTAAAGTGCTCTAGAGCATCTCAGAATGCTTAAAAATGTTCCAAATTGGCACAAGCTTTTCAAAATGCTTTCTTGAATTTTCAAATGGTTGCTTGATGCTATCAGAAATCTCCCAAATAATATTAACCGCTTCTTGGTAGTTCTAATTGATATTCCAAATAAGTTCAGAAATGTTTTAGAGCAGGGCTGTCCAACTTCAAGATCTCCAAGAGCCGCTTTAAACAAAAATACGGTTTGGGGGGCCGCATTATAAAATACTTCGGAAGCTACTTCATCCGTGAGTTTTAATAGGTATGGTATACAAAGAAAAAACGCGTTTGCAATATTTCCATTCACTCAAAAATATTCAAATTACAAAAAAATTAGTGGGAAATTTGAGGAGGTTGGTTCTCCCTCACTAATGCACCAATATTAACATTAACATTTGTTTCTGATAAACGGAGCAGCTGAGTTAGTGACTTATCAGAAAGAGAACATCTATATTTTGACTTTATAAATTTCATATTGGAAAAGCTGCTTTCGCAAAGATACGTGCTTCCCAGCACTGAGCACAGTGTGAGCCCTAAGTTTCGCAGGTTGGGGTATCGTTCTTCTGGCAGCAACTTGAAAATGTCCAATCCAGTTCCAGTTCTTAAAAAAATTAGGCTATTCGAGTCTTCATTAGAAAAAAATGGTTTTTCATTTTTTCCAAGTTGTAAGGAGCATTTTGAAGAAATGAAGGATTTTGAGATAACATACATTGAGAAGAATTCGAAAATCGATTTAGCGACAAAAAAATCGAAAGACAGATTTCAGTTCTTCCTCAGCCCCTTACAATTTCAGTTGAGAATGTGAGCAGAGCAGACCTTCAACTGGAATTGTGTGATCTGCAATCAGATCCTTTTTACCAAGGAAGAACTGGAAATGGATTAGACTTTTTCAAGATGCTGCCAGAAGAACGATACCCCAACCTGCGAAACTTAGGGCTTACACTGGGCTCAGTGCTGGAAAGCACGTATCTTTGCGAAAGCAGCTTTTCCAACACGAAATTTAGTCAAAAATCAAAATATAGATGTTCTCTTTCTGATAAGTCACTTACTCAGCTGCTTTGTTTCGCTGCGACCTTCTATCCTTCGCCAGTAGCGTCACATGTCTTTTTATTTTTATTTTATGGTTAATGTGAGAATTGTGCATATTTCGTATTTGGGTATGAGATCTGCTACGCAGCCCACAATAAGTGATGCCGCGGGCCGCATGCGGCCCGCGGGCCTCTTGTTGGACAGGACTGTTTTAGAGTGTTCCGAGGAGTGTTCTAATATGTTCATGGAAGTTTTAAGTTAGTTCTAAAGTGTCATGTGACGATTTTCAAGATATTCTACAAGTATCCAGTTCTAGATTGTTTCCAAAAGTTCCATGGGATTTGTTGAGTATTCTAGAGTGTTCCAAAAGCTTACTGAAATGTTGCCGAAAGTTTAGAAGAATTCTGGTCTGCTCTAGAATGTCTTTTAAAATTTGAATTGGCTCTAAAGTGTTCTGTAACATTTTACAATGTTCTTGAAAGTTCTAATTTCTCTCAGACAAATGCAGGAGAATTGAAAGTTGAATTGAAAGTTTTTTGAAGCTTATCAAAGTTTTAGGTTTATTCTAAAGTGCTCTAGAGTATTTCAAAATGCTTAAAAATGTTCAAAAATCCAAATTACTGATTTAAGCCTCAAAAATTATTGATTTTGAGTTGAAAGTAGGAATTTGCATAATCAAAATTAATCTTGAATTTCAGATAAAATAGTTTTTGATAAAATTTAAGTTTGGGAAAAGTGTACCTACTGGAATAGCATTGCAATAATAATTATTTGTGATTGTGATTGATCAAAGTATGTAAATAATTTCCTAGGCTGAAAAAACTACCCATTATTTACCTTTTGTCACAATTATTAGCATCACTTTAAACATACATACAAAATTTACATTTTTAATTATAAAACAACATTATTTTAGGTTAATTAATAATTTAAATAAATTAGCACAAAACACAGAAAAACATCAAAACAGCTGATGATGTCAAATTCCAAATATTCGATTATGACGTAAAGAAAGAAGGAATCTGTAATTTTATGTAGCTTTTTTTAAGTTCTGGTAAGCTTCTCTAGATGGCGCGCTATAAAATTTTGTTTAAAATAAACTCTAGATTGTAGTAGGATTAGGATAGCAATAATTAATAAACTTTAAAGCCAGCTTTAGCTAATTTCTAGATTGTTTTTTGCAATTAGTTTTTTGCCTCCAGAACTTGTTACAAAGAGCCTCAAACTTTACAGTTTTTTATTTAATACATGGTTTCTGAACATTCTTTCCTAAAAATTCCAAAAACGAGCCTTTTCCCAGACAGCACACAAGTCTTACCTTGGTTTCCACCAACTATAATCTGTGCATTACAGTTTAGGGAATACTTATCGTTAAGGTTCTTGTAAAATAGTTGGTGGAAACGGCCATTAAAGACGTCTTCTTCAGGTATGTATTTCATCTGAACGTCTAATGAGATTCAAAAACGTTTTGAATACATCTCCTTAAAGACGTCTTTAGAATGTCTTAATTATCTATAAAGTCGTCTTTATAAGCAGACGTCCGAAAAAAGTTGGGTTTTACGACGTCTTCAAGATGTCTATAATATATGGCCGTTTCCACCAACTATTTCAGGGAAGCCTTAACGATAAGTATTCCCCAAACTGACATTTCTCCATGGAAAACTGTCAGTTTAGGGAATACTTATCGTTAAGGCTTCCCTAAAATAGTTGGTGGAAACGGCTATAATGGCCGTTTCCACCAAGTATTTTAGGGGAGCCCTAACGATAAGTATTCCCTAAAATGACATTTTTACATGGAGAAATGTCAGTTTAAGGTCTACCTATCGTCAGGTCTTCCCTAAAATAGTTGGTGGAAATGGCCATTAGACGCCTAGATGTAGGTAAGTAAAACGTCTCAAATGTCGTTTATGGACATTTTAAAAACGTCTTTGATGGCCGTTTGCAGTAGTTTGCACCGCGGCGACCATTTTAAGTGAAGTAAAATGGTTGGTTTGTACTCAATAAAACCATTTAATTGTTGTATGTTAATAAAATCGACTCGTTTTATTGAAAGTTCGGCTTATAATCGTAAGACTTATTGCCGAAATGCAGCATGCAAATTCGCACGCGCTGTTGCACCTTGATAATTTCCGGATGCGGAGGCCTGGAATATTTATACAAAATATCCAAAGCTTGGACGAACTTTTTCAGAGCGTTTTCAAACTGATGAATGCTCAACTGGTATTCGGCTTCCGGTAGAATTTCTTCCAATTTCTAAAAACAAAAGGTAAGAGGAAAATATTTTCATTAGATTTGTCATCAAAATCCACTTACCATCAATCCTTTGAGATAAGGAAACAATCCAGTGGTGCCTTTACAATAAGGACAATCCAGAAAAGGATCATCTTGATCTTGAACCGTAAATACATAAGGACATCTGTCTGTTTTACAAGGAATCCTCAATTCGTTTTCGCGCATTTCATGAAACATTGGCCATAATTCTGTACAAGGCTGACACAAACATTCGAACCAATAATTCGTTTTCAATTCATCCTGCCTCTTTTCCAATGCTTCACCCATATACAATGGACCATAATTTTCATAAATTATGTCATCGGTTTTGATTGGTTTGATTGCACGCACTACAATTTTATTTCTAACATTGTACCTGCAACAATTAGTTTGAGTAATCATATATAAAAATCTTACTCAAATTTACCTTACAATACTGGGATCGCAAGAGTGATTAAATAGAGCCAGAGTTGGATAAAGCCCTGCACCAATGGTATTATTAAGATAACTCACTGTAGCTTCATTGTAGGTGTTTTGTAATTCCGAAATTTCGTGAGCATTGAATTGTAAAATTTGTAGATGACGTAAAATTAAGGTGCCAATAAATAATTCATCTTCAGTTAATAAGTCATTGCTGGATTCAGCAAAATAATATCCTTGTTTCAAAATTCTCAAAAGATAAATCGACATGCAAGCGTAATGAATTAGCTCTTCTTTTTTACGCATTACTTCATTGCGGCATAGAAAAAATACGTTATCGTAATCATCAGATCTATAAGAAAATTTTAATAAATAATAATTGAAAACACACAAATTATTCCTCACCTATATATTTTTTTCCTTACAACATTTTTCTTGCAAGAATCCTTCATGTAATCCTTCAATTTATTTTTCTTTTCTAGAAAAAACTTCAGCGGCTTTTGGTTGATGATTCTCATGGCGAGCAAACAGTTAACCGAAGCTCCCGAATCGAAAAGTTGCTTTTGGAAGCCACATTCTACAGCGTGGAACGATTTCGTCGCCAATCTGCTACAGTGCGTGCTGCAAAAGATGACGTCCACGCAACCAGGACAAGCTATAGGTAATTCTACAGAGGCCAAGCAGTATTGGCAATTGGTTAGGGCGTGGTCTTTGTCCACTACCGAGCAGAATGGGGTTTCTTCTACTAGGATGGTACCTGCAAGAGGTTTTTGGAGTTTTACAAAATCAAAAATTCTCCTTTTTTGAGGTAGGAATTGTGAAAGAAGCATTTTCAGCTTTTCCAGAAGAGCTAGGTAGGTATATAATGAACAGTAAAAGAGTTGTCCAATTTTACCTGCTTTTTGCAACTTTTGTGTTGTAAATGGTGCATTTTTGCATGATTGAAAAAACCTATTGAATAGAATTTCATTTTTTCTCAAATGAATTTTATCCTTATACGAGGGTGCAAAATGAGCTTCTTAATCCGCTCTATGGGAACTGTAGCTTTGAAATTACAAGTAATCGAAATTTATACTTCTCCAGCTCAATTTTCATGTTTTTCTACTTCATGTTCAGCTTTTATGAGAGCCAGAATTGACGTTTTAAACTTCCATAGTTCAACTTTAAGATAGTCGGAAATTAAATTTCATTTCTCTAGGAGAGCCTTGAATAGAATTTCAATTTTTCTCAGATTAATTTTGTCTCCACGAGGGTACAAAATGAGCTTCTATAGACCGCTCAATGGGAACTGTAGTGTCCGCCCAAGCCCAAGTTAAGAACACTGGTTAAAAGAATGTGAAGAATTTAAGTTCATAGAAAACATAGTGGTCACGTACACTTACTACAAAAAAATGAGGCGCTTAATAATTCTTAACAAATAAAAATTATTAAAGGGCCGAATTTATAGTCGCTCCTTGAGGTTTCCTTGGACCTTAAGGAAGCCTTGAACGTTTAGAATTGACATGACTAACTTGTCAAATAGTACCAAGTGTCCATTCTGAACTCACGACCTTTAAGGCAGACTCAAGGACTGACTATAAATTCGACCCTAAACGCCTCATTTTTTTGTAGTGAGTGTACGTGGCAACTATGTTTTCTATGAACTTAAATTCTGTACATTTTTTTAACCGGTGTTCTTAACTTGGGCGGACAGTGACTTTGAAATCACAAGAAATCCAAGTTTAATACTTCTCCAGCTCTGTTCCATCTCTTAAAGCCAGGAGTCATGGTTTCATGTTTCTCTACTTCAAGTTCAGCGCCATGAGGGCCAAAATTAACGTTTTAAACTGCAATAGCTCAACTTTAACTCTAGGATAGTCATAAATTGAAGTTCATTACTTTGGGAGAGCCTTGATAAGGACTTCAAATTTTTGTCAGATGAATTTTATCCCTACGAGAGTGCAAAATGAGCTTAAACCGCTCTATAGGAACTGTAACTTTGAAATGACAAGAAATTGAAGTTCAATACTTTTCCAGCTCAATTCCAATTCTTAGAGCCAGGAATCATGTTTTTATGTTTCTCTACTTCAACTTCAGCTCCATGAGGGTCAAAATTGACGTTTCAAACTGTCATAGCTCAACTTTAACTGTAGGATAGTCAGAAATTGAAGTTCATTATTCTAGGAGAGCCTTGAATAGGATTCCAATTTTTCTCAGGCAAAATGAACTTCTTAAACCGCTCTATGGAAACTGTAACTTTGAAATGACAATAAATCGAAGTTTAATACTTCTCTAGCTCAATTCCAACTCTTAGAGCCAGGAATCATGTTTTCGTGTTTCTCTACTTCAAGTTCATCTCCATGAGGGCCAAAATTAACGTTTCAAACGGCCATATTTCAACTTTCACGTTTCACGCAAGGATAGTCAGAAATTGAAATTGATTACTATAGGAGAACCTTATTGAATAGGATTTCAATTTTTCTGGGATGAATTTTATCCTTACGAGGTTGCAAAATGAGTTGCTTAAACCGCTCTATGGAAACTGTAACTTTGAAATGACAAGAAATCGAAGTTTAATACTTCTTCAGCTCAATTCCAACTCTTAGAGCCAAGAATCATGTTTTCATGTTTCTCAACTGCAAGTTCAGCTCCATGAGAGCCAAAATTGACGTTTCAAACGGCCATAGCTCAACTTTCCCGCTAGGATAGTCAGAAATTGAAATTGACTACTCTAAGAGAACCTTGAACAGATTTCAATTTTTTTCAGATGAATTTTATCCCTACGAGGGTGCAAAGTGAGCTTCTCAAACCGCTCTATGAGAACTTCAACTTTGAAATGACAAGAAATCGAAGTTAATTACTTCTCCAGCTAAATTCCAACTCTTAAAGCCAGGAATTATGTTTTCATGTTTTTCTACTTCAAGTTCAGCTCCATGAGAGCCAAACTTAACGTTTTAAACTGCCATAACTCTAGGATAGTAAAAAATTGAAGTTCATTACTCTAGGATTAGGATTTTAATTTTTCTTGGATGAATTTTATTCCTGCGAGGGTGCAAAATGAGCTTCTTAAACAGCTCTATGGGAACTGTAACTTCGAAATGACATGAAATCGGAATTTAATACTTCTTCAGTTCAATTCCAACTCTAAGAGCTAAGAATCATGCTTTCGTGTTTCTCTACTTCAAGTTCAGCTCCATGAGGGCCAAAATTGAGGTTTCAAACTGCCATAGCTCCACTTTAGCTCTAGGATAGTCAGAAATTGAAGTTCATTACTCTAGGAGAGCCTTGAATAGGACTTCAATTTATGTCAGATGAATTTTATCCCTACGAGGGTGCAAAATGAGTTTCTCAAACCACTCTATGGGAACTGTGATAGCGTTTTCGGTTTTTGGGAAAATCGAGTTTGGAATGTCGACTTAATTTCAAATTTGAAGATCGATATCTCGGGAACTCAACAAACTACAAAAATCAATTTTGCAAGGCTTATTATAGAGAAGTTCGTTTTAAAAGTCGTGTGTTTAAAAATTTCGTATTAAGGCGTTTTCGAAACGTCCATGTTCGACGTTTATAATATGACGTTTGAAGTTCTGAATCGTTTGAAGATAAATAAACCTTTTTGGCACATGTGAAGTGAGAAGATCAAGAGTATAAGAAGTAAAATTATTGGAAGCCAATCTTTTTGGGTTTAGGAAAGCGATTGGGAATATCTAAATTAGTCACTTTTGCTATGTATTTACTGGGAGTCTGAAACACTAGAACTTATTGAAATACTTTATTCCAAGACAGTATTTGGTGAATACAAAATTGGACAGAACGAAACTGTTTGCACTTTTTATGTCACTCTGACCAGACTATCTAAAGACAGATGATGACAGATGACCAACAATTAATTAGTGCGTTCTATAACTAATACAAGGAATCTAAAGCAAGGACTTATCATTTCCTTCCTTTTTTTTTAAAAAATCTTAACAATCTAATTTCTGAGGAGGTTTAATCAGTCGTCCAAACCTAGAAGTATATCCAGAAGTCTTGCTAGAAGTTGAAGCTGTACCAAGGTCTCTTGAGAGTCTAGGAGTAGCAGTAACTTTTACTGTATGTTTGTTATCTGACTTTAGCATTTTATCAACTGTAGGACTAGTAGGACTCACAGACTCCGGTACTTCAGCAACAGCCGGCTGACTCATTTCTATATTATTGCTTGAACAATGTTGGTTATCGTTGTTTTGACTTATTTGTGAATTTGGTGAAGGAGAAGGAACTATTTCAAACGACATCATTTTAGAAGAATCTGCTTTACATTGCCGAATGTCATTCAAATGAAAAAGCCTTATAACTTCTCCAATTTTAACTAAATAAGTACAGTAACTCATACATCTTATAATTTTACCTTTTTGCCACAAGTGAGTGTACTTATTTTTTACATAGACATCTTGGTTTTCACAATACAATGTTAAGCTAGTAATATCAGAATTTACAGGTTTCTGTTTATTAGACCAAGGTTTCAACAAATCGTATCTAGTACGAGGGCGAAACTTAAAAACAGATTCTGCAGGAGACAAGCCAGTCGACGTAGAGGGTGTATTACGATGTACAAATAAAAAGTTTTCCAATTTATTCAAAATTGAATTTTTGCTCAACTCTTTTTCCCTTTCTCTAAATAATGAGCGTACCAAACCTCTTTTTATGGTTTGTACATTTTTCTCGCCAAGACCGTTACTTTCAGGATGCTGGGGTGGAATTGGTATAAACTTTATTCCATTAGCCTGACAAAAAGTAGTAAATTCATAACAATTGAATGGAGGTCCATTATCCGATACAAGTTCAGCAGGCAAACCGAATACTGAAAAAATTTGTTTAAGAGTCAAGATAGTTTCCCTTACGTTAGTACCATTATTCATAAGTTTTACTTCAGTCCATTTAGACTTGTCATCCACTAAGATCAAGAAAACCAAATTAAATTTCTTAAAAAAATTGATATGGACCCTATAAAAATTATTAGGAGCACAAGGCCAAGGAACAAGTATACCTCCACTTGTAAAATTTTGAGTTTCTTGACATGTTTCACAAGAGCTTATAAAAGCTTCAATAGCCTCATTCATACTTGGCCACCAACAATAGGATCGCATAAGCATCTTTGTTCTAACGATGCCAATATGTTCTTCGTGAAATAATTTTAAAATATCATTTTGAAGCTGTTTTGGTATGACTACCTTACTTCCAACTAATAAGCATCCTCCTTCTATAGAAAATTCCAATCGTCTTTTAAAATAGGGTTGTAAATTTTCAGCTTTATTAAAATTTGGCCATCCAGAAAGAGTAAGGTCAATAACCTTGGAAAGAGTGATATCCTTCTTTGTAGCTAATGCAATATTTTCAAACGACAAAGGTGCATCATAGCACAAACTAAATGAGAAAAGCGAATCTGAAACTCCAGTTGAACAATTCATAGGTAAGCGAAATAGACCATCAGCATTTGATATTGTCGCAGCTTTGGGTTGCCTGCTGACAAAATTCTTGGGTTCGTGGTTCGTTTCGTTTATTCCAAAAAAATCAAAGTCCAATTAACACAGCAATAATTTATTCCACTTAACAAAACACTCTGACACTAATTACTTTAATAACTAACTCAACAATTAAACTTTACAACTCAATAATCACTATTTAACTCGTATCACAGTCAAACTTTAACTTAAAACTACAAAGCAATAGCCGCCTTTATATATCCCTAAATCTATTCCTGTAAAATCTAGAATACACACGATAATCTTATTTTCCCGA